ATGACAGTCTGTTGTTGTATGACAGTCTGTTGTTGTATGACAGTCTGATGTTGTATGACAGTCTGTTGTTGTATGACAGTCTGTTGTTGTACGACAGTCTGTTGTTGTATGACAGTCTGATGAAGAGGATGCTGAGGGTTGTCTATAATGTTCTTCATTTTATGAAGAATCCTTCTTTGAACAATCATCTCCAGAGGTTCTAGAGGAGTCCCCAGAACTGAGGCAGCCTTCCTTATGAGCTTGTTGATCTTTTTTAAGTCTCTTGCTCTGGTGCTGCTCCCTCAGCAGATGATGCAGAAGAGATAGTGCTCTCTACAACAGACTTATAGAAGATATGCAGCATCTTGCTGCAAACGCTGAAGGACTTCAGCTTCCTCAAGAAGTACAGTCTGCTCTGTCCCTTCTTGTAGACGCTTCACTGTTGCATCTCCAGTCCAGTCTGTTGTCCAGGTGAATCCCAAGGTATTTATACTTCTCCACCACCTCCACTTCTTCTCCCATGATGGAAATAGGGTTGGACCTGTTCCTGTTTCTCCTGAAATCTACAATCATCTCCTTGTTTTGTTCACATTCAAGATGAGATGATTGTTTCCACACCATGCCACAAAGCGGTCCACCAGTTCCCTGTACTCAGCTTCTTGTCCATCTCTGATCCACCCGACCACTGCAGAGTCATCAGAATATTTCTGCAGATGACAGGAGTCTGTTTTGTACTGGAAATCTGAGGTGTACAGAGTGAAAAGGAATGGTGCGAGTACAGTCCCCTGTGGTGCTCCTGAGCTACTGACCACCTGGTTAGACACACAACCCTTCAGTCTCACAAACTGGTCTTTATTAACCTTGCATTCAGTATCTGGTGTGCCCCCACCCCCTGTGCAGCAATACCTGCAGCTAAATGTTTCTGGTAACTGTTGATCCGTCCTGCACACCGGCTTGGAGGAATTTTAGCCCATTCCTTCGTACAGAACAGCTTCAACTCTGGATGTTGGTGGTTTCCTCACATTAGCTGCTCACTTCAGGTCCTTCCACAACATCTGGATTGGATGAAGGTCATGACTTTGACTTGGCCATTCCAAAACATGAACTTTATTCTCCTTGAACCGTTCTTTGGTAGAACATCTTGTGTTCTTAGGGTCATTGTCTCGCTGCATGACCCACCTTCTCTTGAGATTCAGTTCATGGACAGATGTTCTGACATTTTCCTTTAGAATTCTCTGATATCATTCAGAATTCATTGTTCCATCAATGATGGCAAGCCGTCCAGGTCCACAGTAAAACAGTCCCAAACCATGATACTACCACCACCATGTTTCACAGATGTGATAATGTTCTTATGCAGGAATGCAGAGTTTTCTTTTCTCCAAACAGAACAATTTTCATTTAAACCAGAAAGTTCTATATTGGTCTCATCCGTCCACAAAACATTCTTCCAACAGTCTTCTGGCTTGTCCACGTGATCTTTATCAAACTGCAGACGATCAGCCATGTTCTTTTTGGAGAGCAGTGGCTTCCTCCTTCAACCCTGCCATGACACCATTGTTGTTCAGTTCTCCTGATGGTGGACTCATGAGCATTAACATTAATGTGAGAGGCCTTCAGTTGCTTATAGAGTTGCATTCCCAAAAACCTGGCCCCAGCCCGTAGCTATCATTTCTGAACCCCACCCAACCCGACAAATTAACAGTAATTACAGGTCCGAACACCCCCCCCCCCCCCCCACACACACACACACACACACACACCTTCTAAAGGAAATACTATTTGTTTCTCTCATTTGTTTGAATGACTTTCTTTACTTTAACTGAACATTTTACCTCTTTCAAGGCTGGTCAGCGCGCGGTCAAATGGCCGTGTGCGGCTGGTGATGATATGGCATGCCATGTTGCCATATAATTGGAACGTCAGCCATGCACGTCCGCTGACGACATCAAAAGCCCGACACTGGCCCGGCCTACACATTAAGCACATTATTATGGCCTGGCCCTAATCCACGTTGGGCCAGGCTGGGTTCTGGGTTCAGGTTAGAAATGACAGCTCTAGTTGCTTAGAAGTTACCCTGGGGTCCTTTGACCTTGCCGACTATTCCACGCCTTGCTCTTGGAGTGATCTTTGTTGGTCCACCACTCCTCGGGTCTTGGATTTCCTCCATTTGTCCACAATCTGTCTGATGTGGATTGGTGGAGTCCAAACTCTTTAGAGATGGTTTTGTAACATTTTCCAGCCTGATGAGCATCAACAACTCTTTTTCTGAGGTCCTCAGAAACCTCCTTTGTTCGTGTCATGATACACTTCTACAAACAAGTTGTGAAGAGCAGACTTTGATGGATCCTGTTCTTTAAATCAAACAGGGTGCCCATTCACACCTGATCATCATCATTGATTGAAAACACCAGACTCTAACTTCACCTTCAAATTAACTGCTGATCCTAGAGGTTCACGTACTTTTACCACTCACATATATGTAACACTGGATCATGGTCCTCAATAAATAAATGACCAAGTATAATATCTTTGTCTCGTTTGTGCAAGTGAGTTCTCTTGATCTACTTTTAGGACTTGTGTGAAAATCTGATGATGTTTTAGGTCATATTTATTCCAAAATACAGAAAATGCTAGAGTTCACAAACATTCAAGCACCACTGTAAATCAAATATTAAGGTTTTGTGTGAAGTCCTTCCAATGGTTCCGACTTGTTTTGGACTAATGGTTTCTGTTTGTTATGTTTTAATCCCAGGGGGTCTGGGACTGTCTCACACCATGTATGCACGACTCAATGAGATCATAGCATTAGACGGGTCCATAGCTGTAACTCTGGCTGCACATCAAGCCATTGGGCTCAAGGTGAAATTTAAATACTGGAGTTTTTCTTTGTAAAGATGTTTTTGAACAACGTTGGAAGACGATTTTAATGTGGTATTTCAGGGCATTCTGATTGCTGGGAATGAAGCTCAGAAGAAGAAGTATCTGCCCAAATTGGCATCAGGAGAGCACATAGCAGCCTTCTGTCTGACGGAGGCAGGGAGGTTTGTATCCAACTACCTTTACTTTGATAAATTCATCGACTACGTTTTTTCTGAAAACTGTCAATGATTTTATCTTAGTTAATTTTTTAGTTCATCTTCAGCATTTAAAGTTTTCTACAAAATGAAATGTAAACAAAAAAAAATTCAATTTGAAATCTAAAATGGCAGCACGGTGGCGCAACGGGTAGAGCTGCTGCCTCTCAGCGAGCAGGTCCCCGGTTCAAATCCCGGTCCGGGAGCCTTTCTGGGTGGAGTTTGCATGTTCTCTCCGTGCATGCGTGGGTTTTCTCTGGGTACTCCAGCTTCCTCCCACAGACCAAAAACATGCATGTTAGACTGATTGGTAACTCTAAATTGTCTAAATTGATTGAAGGTGCAGTCCAGTCTCGTGTAGGTTCTGTTCCACTCGTGTCTCGTGCATCACAGCTTGTGGGTGAATTTCTGCTCGTGTTACCTTGAACCATCCTTTGGTCTTTTAGTTGACTGAACACTGGAAAGCCTCGGCCTTGGCTCAATATTTATTGTAAGAATCATTATTGCCTCCATTAGAATCAGTTTTTAACTTAGTGTTAATAAAATGTATATTGTATCTTGGAACAGTCTCCTGTTTACTTGTAGACAAACCCAAGTGTCTTTTCTGTATAAATTATGTCCTTGGGTGAAAGTCCTGATGTTGTGTTGCAGTAAGTTTATAAAATAAAAATAACATCCATACCCAAGCTCATCACATATGCATGTAAATTGTTCTAGTGATATGTAATTTGTTATTTGAAAGTTTTGAATTAAACATTCTTCAATTACAACACACTGGAGCAGCATCCTGTAGTGTTTTTTAATTTAATTTGTGGATTGATTCAGTTGTATTGAAAGGGAAACAAGTGTAATTTACAATATCTAGTAAAAACTAAAAAATAATGACCAGTTTTTCGAAGCATTTAGCGACTGTCGGCGTGAGGGCCACTAGCCGATAGTCATTCAGACCAGTCACTGTAGAGCTTTTTGGGACTCTGCACCAGCTCTCCAGGTGTTCCACCTCCTGCCTGTAGCTGGACTCATCATTGTTTGTGATGCATCCCACCACCGCTGTATCATCTGCAAACTTTACAATGTGACAGCCTGGATGGGTAGGTGCACAGTCATATGTGAGCAGAGTAAACAGGAGGGGGCTCAGCACACATCCCTGAGGAGAGCCAGTGCTGAGGGTTATGGTGGAGGAGGAGAGGTTGTGGATCCTCACTGACTGTGGTCTGTTTGTTAAAAAGTCCAGGACCCAGTTGCAAATGGAGGGGCTTAGTCCTAGTGTGAATAGTTTGTCCATCAGGGTTTGGGGGATCATGGTGTTGAAGGTGGATGTGAAGTCCACAAAGAGCATACGGACGTAGGAGTCCTTCTGCTCCAGGTGGGTGAGAGCAGTGTGGACCCCAGAGGAGATGGAGTCTTCTGTTGATCGGTTCTTGTGGTATGCATGGTGAGGGTCCTCGCTAATGTCGATGGTAGATGGTCAAAGTTCAAATCCTAAAAATGTCCATTTCTCCTCTGTGCTGCAGCAGCTTTGTGAAGGGTTTTAATCCTTTGCTGTCCAGATGCACTGATCGACTTTTGTCTTCCATCTTAAAATTCAAAGTATGTCACATCGTAAAATGGTAAACGGACTGTACTTTTATAGCGCCTTTCTATCTTATCAAGGTACTCAAAGCGCTTTACAACACTGTGTCCTCATTTACCCATTCATACAGCTCTACTAGATTATTTCGTTTTTTAACTTATCTAAGGACTGCAGATTTCAATTAGCTTTTGCTATAATCTGGCACAGCGCATCAAATGGTGACATTTATGTTTGAGTTGTGCATTGTCCCTTTTTAAATAAAGTTAATTCATTCATTCAACAAATCATTCTAAAGAGACTAATCAGAGCTTTATCACATTCATACACCAATGGGACACTCATCGGAGGCAACGAGGGGTTCAGTGTCTTGCCCATGGACACTTCGGCATGTGACTGCTGGTGGATTCGAACCCCCAACTCTTGCATTGGAGGATGACTGCTCTAACCACTCAGCCACAGCATAATCACAAAATATAAAAGTGTTAAAAGTGATTTTTAATTATTTTAGAACTTCTATGTTCAGTTGTTTTAAGTGTAAATGATCAAGAAGTACATTTCTGCTCTTTAACCCTTCGATGTCCTGCTGTGCTTCTCTTCTCTTGTACTACTACTGTCCCTACTTCGCGGTTTTTCACTTATCGCCCGGGGGGGGGGCTGGGAACTTAACACCCGTGATAAACGAGGGACTACTGTATTGTAATTAATCTCTCTTCACGTTAAATCCTTTCAGTGGAAGTGATGCAGCTTCCATTAAGACTCGTGCAACTCTTTCTGAAGATGGAAAACATTACCTGATCAGTGGTTCCAAGGTGAGCTGAATCCAACACCCAGATGCTTTCCCTGACTCTGTATTCTCCATTAAAACATTTCACTTTTTTATGGTCAGATATGGATCTCAAATGGAGGAATGGCCGATGTTATGACAGTATTTGCCAGAACAGAAGTGGAAGTAGACGGCGTAAAGAAAGATAAGATTTCTGCTTTTATTGTGGAGAGGGATTTTGGTGGCGTCACCAGTGGCAAACCTGAGGACAAACTAGGCATCAGGGGTTCCAATAGTAAGACTTTATGCATACTTCAGTATTGTTCATGTCAAATTGGTGCCTTTTGTTCAGTTAAATAACTCCAAAATGTAGTTGGAACAGTAGAACGATAAAGACCTCATCATCTACTTGTATTGTCTTCTATATTTTGTCTCATCAGCTTGTTTTATTTACATATAACGGTAACTTGTATTCAGATCTGCAACTTATTAAGTTTTAGTTTGTGAAATTGATCCTAAGAAGAAGGTTTAAAATGTTTTATTTGAAATGAGAGCTAACGGCCTGTGATTATTATATTCTGGGTAAAAGAGGTTTTTCTGCATGAATAAAACAAACTATTTTAAAATCAATGTTCATCAACAACGGATAAATATTTTCACGTCTACCTCTAGACGACAAACATTAAAGTTTTTTTGTCCCCGTCATGGAGCGAATGTGGGGAATTGATAGTTCCTTTAATCGGTCCGTTTGTTTGTCTGTGCATGTTGTGAGCATGACAACTTGAAAAATTAGTGAAGTACAGACTTCACTTGACAGCATGGCAGGTTAGTGGTTAGCACTGTTGCCTTACAGCTGGTCCTGGGTTCAATTCCCGGTTTGGACCTGAGTTGTTTCTGTGTGGAGTTTGCATGTTCTCCTCGTGGATTTTCTCCAGTTTTCTCAAACAGACCAAAAACATACATGTTAGGCTGCCTTCAGGCCCAGGCCTCCCTTGCAAAAGAGCTCTGTGCTCTCAATGGGATCTGCCTGGTAAAATGAAGGTTAAATAAAAAATAAAATTTACCTTTTCAAACTCCTCTGGGCTCAGAGGTATGGGAGGTGGACCAGAACACAGTGGAAACGTGAATTGTAGTCAAATGAAATAGCTTTCTATATTTATTGCACAAGCTGGTGAGACAAAATGTGAAATATTTTTGTCTTCTTATGATCTGATTTAACAGTAAAACAAAAGCAAAGTAAAACTGTAACTGTCTATTTCAGCTTGTGAACTGTCCTTTGACAACGTTCCAGTGCCAGTGGAGAATGTAATAGGAGAAGTAGGAGGAGGATTCAAGGTAAACTACCGGTAATCAGAACAGAGTTGGGTGTTAAGACTAATATATTGACAATCAACCATTGGAGTCCACTGGCAAAATATATATATATATATATATATATATATATATATATATATATATATATATATATGGGATTTCTCCTGGGTTAAAATTAAATCTCAGGAAGTCCAACATTTTACTGACCACATCAACTCATAAATACATCAAGTTCACACGAGAAGATGTAAAAAATGGCAGGTCGGCTTTCTTGGACTGTGAGGTCTCAGTCTCTGATAGAGGACATTTGCAAACTGAGGTGTACCACAAACCCCCCCACACAGACCAGTATTTGCAGTTTGACTCCCATCACCCTTTGGAGCACAAGTTAGGAGTCATCAGGACTCTGTATCACAGAGCAGACAGCGTCCCCACTAGCTCAGGAGCCAGGCAGAAGGAGAAATCCCACACAAGACAGGCTCTAGAGCAATGTGGATATCCTAACTGGGCCTTCCTGAAAGCAGAGAAGAAACCCAAACAGGACTCCAGTCAGCCAACAGGTGAAAAGGAGGAACCCAGACCAGTGGTCATTCCATATGTTGAGGGAGTATCAGAGAAACTGAGACGTTTATTTTCTAAACACAACGTCCCAGTGGCTTTTAAACCCCAAAATACATTACGGCAAAGACTGGTTCATCCCAAAGATCCAGTCCCCCGGCACAAACAGAGTAATGTTGTGTATGTTGTTCAGTGTCAGGAGGGTGATCAGTCTTACATCGGGGAAACTAAACAGCCACTGGCAAAAAGGATGGACCAGCACAGAAGATCAACATCATCAGGCCAGGACTCTGCGGTCTACACTCATCTCCAGGCCAGCGGTCACTCTTTCAGGGATGAAGATGTGCACATCCTGGATAGAGAGGAACGATGGTTTGAGAGAGGAGTAAAGGAGGCCATCTTTGTGAAAAGAAATCGTCCATCATTAAACAGGGGTGGAGCCTCCGGGTTCAACTGTCCCCCTCTTACAATGCTGTGATTGCTAGTATCACTCAGCCCTCTGTGAGTAGTAAACAGCCATCAGTGTGCTAATGATCCATCGTTAGGCTGATGGTCCTTCTTGAGCATGTGAGCAGCTGGTTTTGGTTGTCAGCAGCAAAACTGGTTGATCCACTCTGAGAAGGTGCTATTTAAGAGACTGAGCTGAAAACAGCTCCTCAGACTGAGGAAGTCTCTCGGATGAGAGACGAAACATTTCTACATTTTTTTGTTTTTTTGTTTTTTTTTTTATGTCCAGAGGACCAGATTTAACTTTTTTAGATGCATCAGGAATGTTTTGACCTAAATGTTCAAGCCACTTTGCCAGTTGTGATCCTCAGTTGCCCTGTAATCGAACTTCAATTTCTTTACCTTATCCCGGCACTCCTTATAAGTCGAGGTGCAGCCATGCCATCATCTCTGATATCACTCTGTAATTACAGTCAATTCTTCTGGCGCCATCCGTCAACACAATCAGAGTGGAAGTTGAGATCAGATGTAGTTGACAGTTTTACTGGGCGGGTCATCCAGCGGCGTAGCTGTGCTGGCCAATCAACAGCTGCTGTGTGCTTACGTCAAAATCGTCCATGTGAGCAGTCTGCTTAGAAGCACAAACAAGGTGATCCCATAAACCGGGCTGAGTGAGGGTTTGTACTGGCAGTGTGCAGGCCTTCACTGGTGCGGTGTGGTGCAGAACTGGTGAGAGTTGAGACTATGGCAAAATGCCATATGTTTCTCATCTGGCCCAGGAACACCTTGGGGTCCTCCCAGAAGAACTAGAAGAGGTGGCTAGGGAAAGAGATGTCTGGACCTCCCTGCTTATGCTGCTGCCCCTGCGACCCAGCTCCGGAACAAGTGGAAGATAATGGATGAATAGTGATGTGACAGTAAGGTCATCATATCTTAGATGTTATCGTTGTTTTTTTTACATTTTATTGTTGGATGTAACTGGGACCCTGCGTACATAATTTTGCTCCACCACATGAACCACATGACAATAAAGAAGCTCTGACTCTGACCAGGGGAGGACTTTACATATCCATTCTCAGCTTTAAACCTCTTTGCAGCTTCTAGTATCAACCCAAAGATGAATGCACAGGTTTGGTACATTTTTTTAATCAGAATTTTCAACTTACTAATATTTTAAAAACTCAAGTAATTCCAAATCTGTGATTTAGTTTGTTTTGATTTATTTTTTGTTTATTGAATTATTGATTGATTGATTGATGGATTGCGACAGATGTCCTAGTGCCACAGTTGGAGATGACCTGGTCCATCTCTTCATAACGCACAAATCGAATACCGCCTGTTTGTTGGATTGACAATGGTTGATGAAATAGATTTTAGCCCATCACCCAACCCTAAAGCAGAACAGTTTGTCATCAGTGATTCTGTAAAGCTTATAAACCTTTGCTTTCTGTTGGGCAGATTGCTATGAACATCTTGAACTCTGGGAGGTTCAGTATGGGCAGCTCCTGTGCTGGAATGATCAGAAGGCTGATTGGTACTACTTTTTTCATGTTCATGGCTGTGGTTTTGTAATATATCTCGAGTTCATTATTGTTTTTTCTGTCTTTCTGTAGAACTTGCTTCTGAGTATGCTGCAACCAGGAAACAGTTTAACAAACGCCTGAGTGAATTTGGTTTGATTCAAGTACTGTCATATGTTCTGTCTGTGAAATTACTGGTTTGTGTTCAGTGGAGTCATAAGTGAGCCTGTTCATTCTGTTACTGTAGGAGAAGTTTGCATTGATGGCAATCAATGCTTACGTGATGGAAAGCATGGCCTACCTTACAGCAGGAATGATGGACAGACCGGGAGTTCCAGATTGTTCTTTGGAAGCTGCAATGGTCAAGGTTAGACAGCTTTGTCGTCTTGTTTTGTTCATGCTAAACCAGTGTGAAACGATCATTCTCACCGTACTCATGTGTTGTCTTCTCTGTGCAGGTGTTCAGCTCTGAGGGAGCCTGGGTTTGTTGTAGTGAGGCTCTGCAGGTCCTAGGAGGGCTGGGCTATACGAAGAACTATGCCTTTGAGCGTTACGTCAGAGACTGTCGCATTCTGCCGATCTTTGAGGTACCTGAGAATTAGCTGTCAAACCAAGCCATGGATGGATCAATTACATTGATTAATCTCAAGGCTGAGAAATTCTGGTGTTGCAGCATCTTGTGAACACACAGAGAACACACACAAAAAATAGTATAATACTATATAGTCATCAAACTTAACAAAGTTAACTGGAAGAAATAAACTTCATGGAATAATCACAGAGCTGAAGAAATGATATTGTCATTTGTTTTAATCTCTTTACTTAAAAGTGTCGATCTGGGCTTGAACCTTCCTCCTCAGGATTGCAAGACTGCAGCTCTGACCACTGAATTACCACAGCCCCATTCTTCTACAAACCACAGAACGTGTCAAACAAGAAGTGTGTGTGGGCTGTAAGTAGGAGTCATGGCTAGTAATGTTAGGCTGCCTTCAGGCCCAGGCCTCCTTACAAAACAAGTCTGTGATCTCGATGGCAGGTGCCTGGTTAAATAAAAGTAAATAAATGGAGAACAGGTGTACCATGTTGGAGAAAATGCCCTGTTGTTTGTCTCCCCTCTGTTCATGTCCAGTCTGTCTGCTTCAGTCTGCTGCTGGTAATTCACCTTCAAATCTTTAGTCTCCCAAGTGGGTTTTTAACTGAAACTCTCTAATGTTGGCGGCACAGTGGCTCAGTTAGTAGAAATGTTGCCTCTCATCAAGAAGGTCACCGCATCAAATCCCTGTCTGGGACTCTTTCTGGGTGGAGTTTGCATGTTCTCTCCGTGCATGCGTGGGTTTTCTCTGGGTGCTCCGGTTTCCTCCCACAGACCAAAAACATGCACGTTAGGCTGATTGGTAACTCTAAATTGTCTCTAGGTGAGAGAGAGAGAGTGTCTCGTTTGTCTCTGTGTGTCTCTGTGATGGATGGAGACCTGTCCAGGGTGTCCTCTGCCTTTCACACTGTGATAGGATATGGACACCAGTGACCCCCGCGACCCAAAAGGGAAGAAGCGGGTAAAGATAATGGATGGATGGATGATGGATGGATGGATTGATAGAATGATAGATTGACTGATAGATTGATTGGACACAACTGCTTTTCCTGCATTAAAAGACATTAGAGCTGCCGGCAGTACCGATCTCTGCCGACAGGGGCATATGATAAATAAATCAACGGACAAATGCGAGTGGTGAACTGTAAATTTAAAACAAAATGAGAAGAAATGACTAAAAGCCACGTCAAATTCCATTTTAAATTGTAAAACTGGGTGTAAAACACACAGAGCAGTACACTGCAAGCTGAAGGGTGGTCCACAGTTTTTAACATTTTAGTCAGAAACAGAATATTGTCATTGTAACAAGTACAACAAAATCAAGTGTTCCATTCATTCATTCATTCATTCATTCATTCATTCATTCATTCAACCTTTATTTAAACAGATAAGTCACACTGAGCCTCGAAGACTCATTTACAAGTGAGACCTGTTTGGACAGACAAAACCAGTGGTAAACTGGACACATGTAGGAGTTGGAGGCGACAAAAATTCCTGTCAGACTTTTTTTTTCTTGCCTGAGAAAAAAACCTCTAATGTTATGATGTCAAAGACATGAAAATGATAGAATTAGAAAAAGAATGAAAGATAAAAGGGTAAAAAAAACTACCAGTTATTTACAAGATAAAGATTTTGTGGGGGAGTGGTGGCGCAGAGGTTAGAAGATGGGCCTGTGATCGGAAAGTCGCAGGTTCAACTCCCGGTACTGTCAACATCAAAATGTGGGTGGAAAAGGTGAAACACCCACACCTGCCTCCACCCTCATTCACCCCACTCTGGGCTGCTGAGCAAGGCCCTCAACCCCCACCGTCTGCTCCCTAAACAGGTCTCTCTTGAAAATGAGTTCTCGGGGCTCAATGAGACGACCTGGATAAACAAAGGTAAATGAATAAAAATAAAGTGTACGGTAATACAACACAGCACATTATTACACATTAAGAAGTCATTGCACATGGTTATTATGCATTGCACATTGCTATTGGAGGTACATTTGCACTTTAGATGCTATGAGGTACAGCAAATGCTTTTTGTAGTCTTATTTGTATTTGTTTTTAATGCTCCTGTCCCCCATACGTGACGCAGTGGTTGGAACATGGTGTGACCTGGGTGCAAGGAGTTTTGTAAAATATTTGTGGCTTTTCTGAGATGGCAAGAACTGTGCAGTTCTTGAAAAGAGGGAAATTAACATTCAGTGGTCTGGGCCATGCTAATGATCCCCTGAAGTGTTTTCATCTGTGCTGCTGGGCAGCTGGAACCACACATAAAGGCCGTAGCACAGGATGCCCTCGATAGAGCAGCAATACAAGGACACGGGCAGCTTTTGACAGATGTTGGTCTTACTGTGGACTCTAGGAAAAAAGTCTCAACTGGGTCTTCTTCACCAGCTCTGCTGTGTTCGCACCCCAGGTCAGGTCCTCCATGATGTGGATCCAAGGAAACGGAAGTCTGACACCCTCTCCACACAGTCGGGCAGCTGTGGCTGAGTAGTTGGAGCAGTCGTCCTCTAATGGGAGAGTTGGGGGTTCGATTCCACCAGCAGTTACATGTTGAAGTGTCCCTGGGCAAGACACTGAACCCCTCACTGCCTCCTTCCATCAGTGTATGAATGTGATAAAGCTCTGATTAGTCTCTTTAGAATGATTTGTTCAGTTAGCTTTGTAGAGATCTAGTAGAGTGCTGGATGAATGGTAAATAGTAAATGGACTGTACTTATATAGCACCTTTTTATCTTATTGAGACACTCAAAGCGCTTTACACTACAATCTGTGACCCACATCTTCAATCTCTTCATAAGACAAAACTCCATCCCAGACACACGAAAACAGCCTTTGTTCTTCCTTTGCTGAAGGGAGGAGACCCCACCTCACTGAACAACTATGGACCAATCTCTAAACTCTGCATTTTAGCCAAGGTTCTAGAAAAACTGATAAACTCTCAAATCAAAAATGACCTGGACTCATTTAACATCTTACCTCCACATCAATCTGGTTTCAGGAAACAACACAGCACAACAACTGCTTCACTGAAGGTTCTTAATGACGTTGTTGAAGCACTGGATGCTAAGGATTATTGTGCTGCTCTTTTCTTAGACCTGTCTAAAGATTCTGACACTGTGGATCAGAACATCTTGTGTCATAAACTCTCAGAAATCGGTTTCTCAGTAAACAGCCATCAGGTGCTAATGATTCATTGTTAGGCTGATGGTCCTTCTTGAGCATGTGATCAGCTGGTTCTGGTTGTCAGCAGCAAACTGGTTGATCCACTCTGAGAAGGTGCTATTTAAGAGACTGAGCTGAATACAGCTCCTCAGACTGAGGAAGTCTTTCAGATGAGAGACGAAACGTTTCTACAATTTATTTATTTTTTTTTTTTTTGAACGTCCAGAGGACCAGACTTAACTTTTTAAATTATTTGTTTGCATGAAATTATAGCAGAGGTGTGTCTCGGTTGAACTTTTACTTAATAAATGCACTTTAATGGTCAAACCAGCTGCATTTCGCCGGGGCAGTGCATCTGGTTTGACGGTCACTCCAAGCAGCGAGCAAAACGAAGTGGGGAGACTGTGGCAAGCCGATTGTGTATACTGATAGCTGGTGAAGATTCTCAGTCATCCAGAACATGGTCAATTCAAAAGTTCAAGACAAAAACAATAAAGTATAATAAATAAAGTCCAGTTGTTTTTGTCTTGAATTTTTTTGTATTTGTCATTAAAGCCACGTTTACATGATTCGTTGACATGCCTTACTGCTAATACTACTCTGTTATCATCTAGTGGCTGAAAATGGTACCGTTTAATTTTCTTCAGTCAGAATGAATGAAAACGGTCATATCTCAGCCAAAAATTGGTTTATAAATATGGGGAAAATCCATAAATATTTCGCTTCGGCCTATAAGTCGCAGGGCATGTACATTATACAAAAAACTGTGACTTATATGCAGAAAAACTGGTACTCGGGGGAAAATGGGAAAAAAATACTGTTTCATTGTACTTGTTTTCTTTCTTCAACTGTCCACCAGATGGTGCAGCTGACTTTGAAATCAAATAAAAGCTTTTAAATAAACACGTTTGACATAAATTTCAAGTCGATATGGTATAGTCATATATATATATATATATATATATATAGACATATTTCATGGTGCTGTGCCAACTGATGCAGTCGTTGATGTAAAAGTACCAAACATGCAAGTGGAAATGTTCTGTATTCTCAAGATATTCTGTCATAGTGAGATGAAGAACATGATATAAGTCTGTATTATAGCTTTAGTTTACTAAAGCTAAAACGGAGTCTGTTTGTTTCTAGGGAACTAACGAGATCCTGAGGATGTATGTTGCTCTCACTGGGATGCAGTATGCCGGCAGTGTCCTCACAGGGAAAATGCAGTATGTAAACAATCGCTCATGCTCGTTTCTCTCATGAAATACAAAACTAAAGACTATTTCTTTTAACTTAAAATAATAAGTAACATAGTTGTCTTAATCTAAAACTCTAACATGAAAGTCAGCAGGCATTGCTTCCTGGAATAGCGAGCCTTAAATTATGAGTTTCACCTTAAAAGCGTTGCTTTATTTGTTAATTTTTATACATTGAACATAAAATGTGTACGTCCACTGTTAAAGTGCTAAAATTTGTGACGTAGCAACAACCCTTTAACCCATTCTAGACCAGGGGTCTGCAGCCTGCGGCTCTGGAGCTACATGTGCTTCTTTGGTCCCTCCGCAGCAGCTCTTAGAAGTTTTGAAGAAAACTGACACAAAACTGCGTTTTATTGGTTGTTATACAAACAACCAATAAAGTACTTGTTTTAGCAGTTTTCCTGTCATTTCAATTTGCAAATACTCTTCAATATTTTGCTTTATTTCTAGACTTACCATGTTTTTTGGACTATAAGGCGCACTGGATTATAAGGCGCACCGGATTATAAAGCGCACCGGATTATAAAGCGCACCGGATTATAAGGCGCACCGGATTATAAGGCACGTTAAACGAAACAAGTTAATTTTGACAGATTTTTGAGCGCCATGTACCACATAAAATCTGTTAGAGGTCAGTAAGCACAACCAGAATTAGTACATAAGGCTCACTCACTGGATTATAAGGCTTACTGTCGATTTTTGAGAAAATTAAAGGATTTTAAATTCGCCTTATAGTCTGAAAAATATGGTAATTATTTTTCCTACCAAAAAATAAAAATAAATCGCATAGGTCCGCACAGTTCACAGTTTTTTAAATTTAATAACACACACACACAAACAAGAATCTGGTCTTTTTCATTTGTTTTAGATTGTAAAAATATCAGTGTCATACACTTTTCATCACCCCAGATCCAAGGTCAAGGTCACAAATCAAGGTCAAATATTATACAAAGTCTTTGCTTGTCTGAGCCATTGCTATAAATTGCTGTATAATTGTTTGTTGACAGGTGTATAACGTGCGTGTAGGGTGCTTTGGTTTCTCAGAAAAGATTAGTCTGCTCTTCTGGTAAACTGTTGAGTGTGTGTGTTACATTAAAGGTCAAAGATTAGAACATTTTTATAACACAAACCTTGGCCTTTTAACAGAATGTGCAGATTTTTTTGATCTACTGGACAGTTTGTGATCTGCCCCAGTGGATCATCACACTGTTTTGTAACTCCATTCTTTCCCAGAGTCTTTGGCTGCTTCCCCCTCAGCCTGTCTTTACTTTACCTCCAGGGAGATGAAGAAAGGAAGCATGCTTCTGATTCTGACCATGGCCGGCAAGAAGCTGAGGACCTCACTGGGAGCTTCCGTAGACCTTGGCCTGACAGGACAGGATTGGGTGGTGCATCACAGCTTGGCAGTAAGGATTTTATTTTGTTTTTTTTTTACTAGTGGTCTAGTTTGTTTGTTTTTTAAAAGTTAAGCCTTTTTCTCTGTGTTCAAAGGACAGTGCAAAGAAGTTTGAGCAGAACGTCAGCAATTTTGGGTCGACTGTGGAGAGCCTTCTATACAGATATGGAAAGGTAACTTTTGATTGAATCTAGAGAAGCAGCTGCAGGCTTTTATCTTTAAAAGTTTCCAGTTATTTGGAGTTGATTTCCCGTTTGACCTAAATGGCTGAACGAGCGAGTTGCTTTACAAAGACGGAGGTTTTGTGTGTTGGACAGCTGCTGCAGCGCTTGTGTACTTACAAATCCTCCCTTCCTGAATCTTCTGGCTCTAGTTTGATCCACTGCATGTACTGAAAGTGTCATAAACTTATGCCAAAAGCTTCAACATTTAACTTCCCTCTTTGGGACTTCTTTGATTGTCCCAAAGAGGGAAAGAGGGGGAATTGGAAATACCCTCCATGTGTCTGTCAATTTTGTGACCTGAATAAGTTGAAACATAGGCAACATGCTGACTTCCATTTTGTTGTGAGGCTGCAGCTTGCCGTAAGAAAGGTCATTATCAAAAATTGGGTTGTCACATCAAAATCCAAGATGGTCACCACCATATATGTGCATGTGTGTGTGTGTGCATGTGAGTTGACCACATAGATTGTTTAAGAAAACTGCCTTCTAGTTTCTATATTGCTTGAAAGTAAAGTTTCCTGAAATGATTGGGGTGGTCAAAGTAGTCTGTGGTGGCCAACTGGCCACCCCCAGGCCCCACCGTTGTACCTGGTCGCGTATAAAATTTCTAGGATCTGTCACTGTGCTGCCTCGGACAAGCAAAAACAAAACAACACCTTCTGTTCTTCTCATTGTAACTCCTACCACTTGAATGTCTTGCACCAAAAACTTTTAGGTTTGCTTAATTCCATGGGCATTCCACGACTCTCATCTCAAAAACTGCAAACATTCACTATTTAAATCCATCAGTGACGGGGTTTATTAGCATTCTGCTTGTTAATTAAGACTTTTGGGACTAATGCTCAGGAAAAAAATACCCTGTCAACTTGTCTTGTAGTTCATGTGTTTTAGCCACAGTATGAGACATTCATGGTTGCATTTAAAAGCATTAAAGGCCTAGTATTCCTTGATGAAATGTAAATTGCTAACATAATCTTAGTTTGAGAAATGAAAGAGCTGTAGCTGTTTTGGTCTAACCTTCTAACTTTGGTCTACTCAAATAATCCATGATTCCCTGGCTTATATTTTAATATATATAAATGCAACCATAAATGTCTATATATA